AGAACGGACGGAGAAGGAGATTGACTACCTGGACGTGACGTAATGGCAAAGTTAGCACGCTGTCCAATTTACAAAGCAGCCTTCTCAGTTGTGCTGACTTAATCGCGGCATGTTTATCTCAAAGTGTCAGTCTTAATCCAAGGACCCAGTGTTACGTGGATTTGTGAACATGTTTATCAGTACTGCATGTGTGTGTACATGTTTGTAGCTGAAATTATTTACGACGTTATTGTTGTCACACAATCATTTCCCGTTGACTTGATCTTTATAGTCAACTAGATGTACCCGTCCACGCGTTGCTGTGGCATAGTTTGGCTAAATGGAAAAGAAAGAAAATAAAAATCGCTCGTGTCTAATATGGTTACTGTCACAATCATTGTCTGCGCACATACAGAGATAATCTTCGAAGCCCCCCCCCCCCCTAACCCTCCCGTCCCAAATCCACCTACTACTCCCTCCCTCATCAAAGGCTTTTTGAAAAGAAAGATAATAGAAATCGAACGTGTCTAATATAGTTAATGTCGCAATCATTCTCTGCACATATATAGAGATAGTCTGGTTTGCCACTTTAGAACACGCAACATATAATTGCGACTTTATATTAGTGGTCGTTTAAATAGTATTATTAGCACAGTAAAAAAAAATATTTATTTGGTTATCACGTGCTAAAGCTGTTTGTATTTTTTTTAAGAGACGGAAGTAAAGCTTACTACTGTACTTGTAAATAATCAAGTAAGTCGTTAAAAATCTGAGAATAGCGGAGGTAGCGTTAGTAAAATATGAACTAATTAAGAAATGAAAACTTACAAATCATGCGTTAAACTCTTTAAGTTAACAGTTTCTGTCATCACCCTCTCCCCTCCCTCATCTGCTCTCTCTCTCTCTCTCTCTCTCTCTCTCTCTCTCTCTCTCTCTCTCTCTCTCTCTCTCTCTCTCATCGGTGGATTTGAAAGTCATCACCCGACGATATTTTTTTTTAAACTGATGTTGATATCCTGACTTAAATAGGGAGAAGGATGGGTAAACATCCGATATCAAAACAAACATATCCTGAAAATTTCAGCTAAATCGGTTCAGTGGTTTCTGAGTCTATAGCTTATAAACAAACACACAAACATTGATTTTTATAGGTTTATATTTTTTCCTCTAGTTCTCTAGAACTATCCACTCCCAGCTTTGTTTAATTGTCATTAGTTATCGCAACCTAACGGGAGTCATTTAAGTTCACATTTCTTGCAGAAAAGACACGACAAGCCAATACTGAAATACAACGATAGCATGGCATTTGATTAACCTTATCAAGATTTCGGCTCTTTCTTTTAGTCACCATATCACGCGAGATGTAGGAAATCCCCAGTGTTACATGAATAGGGACTATTGCTAACCCTTACACCCCGCCCCATAGGCTATGGGATTTTCCTAAATCTTAGGTGATGTGGGACTTAACAGAAATGAACACAGATTTCACTTAATATACTATCCAGGTAAACAATGTTAAGTGAATTATGAGTTGTATCCCTCACTTGAGATCTAAACTTGGCAAGGTGGCTGCCCAAAAGTGTACTGTACTCCAGTGGGTGCCATCCCACTGTGGTATACCAGGAAACGAAACCGCAGATAAACTTGCTAAAAAAGGGGCAGAATGTGACCAAGAAGAGAATGCAGTAACATACTATGAGAAGAAAAGGGCCATCCAGGCTATCAGAAGTGAACAGAGTCTGGCCAGAGATGACTACCACTTACTTGACCGGCATGGGCAGGTCATTGTCCTACGTCTCAGGACAGGACATAACAAACTTAACCAGCATATGCACAGGCTTCGTCTAAGTAGTTCACCTTTTTGCCCTTGTGGGCTATGTGTGCAGACTACAGAACATGTCCTGCAAGACTGTCCCTTGTTCAGCCCATTAAGAAAGGAATACTGGCCCAGTGAGTCACCACTGTACACAAAGTTGTATGGGACTAAAAATGAACTCATTAAAACAGTTAAGTTTATCACAAGAACCTGTCTGTCGGTGTAAATCAGAAAGCGAACACAAGAAGAAGAAGAAGAAGTTGTATTATCTTCACAGCACTCGTGACACACCCATAGGTGCTCAGATTCTGACTTCAGCATATCTATCAGCGTCGCAAGGTTAATAGTGCCAGTCCTATAGTGGCTGGCAAGACTTCATGTGCATCCGGTGTGCCTCTCATGCTTGACAGTGCCGATCTTTACTCACAACTCTCGTATTCTTAGCAGTAATGTGGACTCGTTGCTTCCAAGATCCTCGGAACGTCCTAGCTCTCTAAGGGCGATGACAATGTATGTGTGATCCATAGGCCGGCCATCTGCAACTAATGCAGAACCTGCGAGCTCTTTCCTTGCTAACAACACCTGTATACCTGGGACAAATATGAAGGTAACTGTACACACAGGAGAGTTTTGCAATAACTTAATCCACTGTCAGCGTATGGAGCCTGCCTCGACCCGCCGGATCATGCTGATAGAATCATTCAACACACAGCCGCATGAAAATGTTCAATGCCATTATGTACCCGTCATACAGAACAGGTTATCTGATGAAAAGGTTACAGTGCACCACACCCCCCCCCCCAACATTTAGACTCAGAAAAGACACGACAAGCCAATACTGAAATACAACGATAGCATGGCATTTGATTAACCTTATCAAGATTTCGGCTCTTTCTTTTAGTCACCATATCACGCGAGATGTAGGAAATCCCCAGTGTTACATGAATAGGGACTATTGCTAACCCTTACACCCCGCCCCATAGGCTATGGGATTTTCCTAAATCTTAGGTGATGTGGGACTTAACAGAAATGAACACAGATTTCACTTAATATACTATCCAGGTAAACATGTTCAAAGGTAACAAACGGCAAGTTACTAATATAATGGCTTTACTTTTGTTAATAAATGTTTCGCACGTTTAAAACGGGGAGAGCTTTTATATATTTCACATAGTCGTAAGTCTATTCTCAGCTGTTTCACTGAAACGAAAAAGGCAACACAAAAAAGCTCTGATTCAACTCAGTTAAAAATAAAAAGCTGGAGAAAAACAAATTCAAACGTGTTTATGCAACATTTATGCTCCACACATGACTAGCCCCAACTTGAGGAACACCTGTTCCTACATGTTGTTATTCTGTTGTCATTCGCGACAGCCAATCAACGGGCCAGCTTTCAAAGTTGACTGACACACTCAGCCAATCAGAAGAGAGAATTTTGAAAGTTTCACCTTTCTTTGTTTTCCCGCACCGACCAATCAGATTTCTACAACTTTTACGCAATGGCCGGTTGCCAAAGTGTACATGTGCCCGTTGTTTACAAGGTTTAATTACACAATAACAAAAGGTGACGTTAATTTGAGTAAATATAATATTTTCTGAGATAGCGGTAAGTTCAGACTGTGGACTGGTGTGAGCAAACTGTCAGGATTTGTTTGTTTGATTTGGTGAGACGAGGTTTTAGCGGCAAACCAGCATGCATTTGTGATTTCATTGACTGCTCGACTCACACCGGCTACTGTTCCCGTCTGCTGTGTGTGCAAGGTTGTTGTAGTTTTATAGACTTCTTGTTCGTGTTTTTTCTCAGAAAAACTGCGCTACTGGTATTTGGTGATACCGCATCAAATAACTAGATTAGAAAGTGGTATTTATATGTTTATAACTATTATCGTTTTCAGATTATTGGAGTTTGACTCACACCACCCCTCATTCATGATTCTTAGTCTGTGTAGTACTCAAGTACTGAACTGTCCTGACATAATATTAACCGTTTTTTCCCCAGCAAAACTGCGTGACCAAGAATTAGCAATACATGGTCAAACAAATAGATTAGACAGTGATATTCAACTGTTTGTAACTAGTATTTGTTTTCGGTATTTGATGTTCTAAAGCCGGCATGCATGCTTTGACTGACACTCTTTGAACTCAGAACTGACACACACCAGTCACTCACAGTTTCCGTCTGCTGTTTGTAACTAGTATTGACATATTTTGCTGTTTTATTCTTGGGAAACTATACAGTCAGCGGGAATTTACTAATTATTAAAGAAATCTATTAGTCAATTATTTTTTTAATATACCATTTAGTTTTGCACTGTTCTGTACCCTCTACATGTATTCATGTATTGTCATCTACAACATTCATTTTCACATACCATATTGTTCATTTTAGTTTGCATTAAAGTTCCGTCAGAAATTAAATTATCTATAAAAGAACAGAGGTGGGTATGGCTAGAACGAGTCTTTATCAATGAATATAATAAAGGCAAGCTCATGGAGTTAAGCTTCCTGGTCAGAGTTTGTGTTGCATTAATTAATTTACTTTGACAATGCCCCACCTACCTCCCTCTGCGGTCACCTTTTTTTTTCCAAATATAAAATTTTCCTAACTTTTGATTTAGTTTACTAATTTCATTTTCTGCAAAGCTGCAAAAGCAAGTAACTGCACATCAGACTTGTTCACTTCATCCTCAGCATATGGGGAATGATTCAGTCCATGAATGTTCACATAATGTCAGTTTCAAATGCCTTCTTTGCTTCTTTAGCATTCCGAGCCTTGAGGTTCATTGCTGCAGATATCATCTGCCTCATCTCTTTCATTAGCTCTCTCCCAGTTGGTGACTCCATGGGTTTGCGGGTTGGACTTTATATAATTTTTCCACTGATTTCTTTGTCTTAAGTCTTACCCATGTTCTATGACCATTTAACTCACTTGTGTACCTCAGTCATCGAACATCCTCTCAAGTTGCTCCAGCGGTTTCAGTCCATTAACCCTCATGATGCAAGTGATCAGTGGTGATTTCAACAGATTATGAACTTTGTTGTACACCCACTAAAGAAAACAACTTACTTAGGCACTTTTGTTGTGATATCAATTGTGTCTTTACATCTCTGCCTGTTGCCCACTTTTGTTAGGTTACAGCCTGATTATGTGTGTTACTCATGTGCAATTCTTACTAATTTATTGTTGTTGTTGCAGAAATCTGAGTGAAACTTGTCAATACAGATCAGTGACAGGACTTGTGTCATCAACAGCCATGGATTCCTTTTCAGATCGCTTACATGATCCACTTCTGTTTTTGAACTCAGACAAAAGTGATTTGGATGCATTCCTAATGAACACCAGTTCTGACATGGTTCATATGGGTGAGGAAATGCATGGAAATATTTCTGATATGAAGATGGACAACAGCCTTGACCTGGATTCTTTAGAAGGTCATGGTCATCTGGGGGATATGAACTGGCTTCATAACTCCTCATTGTCTAACCTTGCACATCTTGACAGCGACGACACATCTGATGGCAATTTAATATCTGTGAATCCACAGTCAGTACTTCCAATCCATATAATCCATAATGAAAGCACACAGAACCTTTTATCGTCAGAAACTGCCAACAGTGCGGCCATGCGTCTGCATGCTAATTGCAGCAACCTTCTCAACTCCCCTGAGGCAGACAGTCCGCAGCACTCTCAGGTGTCCAGCCATGAGTCCATCCTCGGTCAAGATCACCAGACCATTTGTATTCTTTCTGTAGCCAGTCAGAACAACTTGCATAATTCCCCGGCCAAGACTCAGAATTTTCTGATCACCTCATCAAGGGACTCTCCTCATAAGTCACAGACCTTTGTTCTCAGCACTGCCCATGGAGGTTGTCCAGGAGGTCTGACTATAACAACAGCCAGTTCGCCAATGGGCTCACAGTTTGTCTTGTCGCCACAGAAAGTTCATGCTGTCACAAAAGAAAAGAGTGGCCGAGTCCTTCTGAAATCTGGCAACAACTTCTTGTCGCCGTCTCAAGCTTCACCAGTCTTGCTTGGTCGGCTTCAGACGGGAGTCCAGTCTCAGGTATTGTGTCACTATTTACTACTTTGAAAAAATAAAGGACTTTATTTTTTAAATAATGCAGACACAAACATTACATCGAACAATGTATTACTAGAAATATTTCGCTGTATTTCGTCAGGTGCGTTACTACAGTTACACCAACATAAAATAAAGCACACTCAAAACTGAAGAAATCCAACTGAAATGTGAAAAGTTTCTTTTGATGTATCATGTTTGTCTAGTCATCAGAAGCTCACTGTAGTCACTTGACTTGCAAGGGTAACTTCAAATTTACTATAAATTACGTCTGCTTACAATGGAGGGGGTTGTTGGTTTTAATTTTTAAAGCTTTAGCCATTCGTAGCAGTCGCCTGTTCGGTATGTGGTAAACCACACGGAAAGCGCCGATGAAACTCTGTAGTAATGCACCTGATGAGATACAGCGAAATATGCCTGGTAATAAATTGTGCAATGTCTGTGTCTACATTATTGACTTTCATTACGGGAAAAACATTGTTTTGAAGACTCTTATGCCATTGGCTAACAGGTATACTGTGTCAGACCCATATTTTTTTTTAGATCACATGGTACATGGTGGGTGATGTTGCCAACATTGCATCAGCCAACTTAACTTCCCAGGATATTTCCCGGTACCCCTTTCAGGCTAAGTCGAATTTGGAGCTCTAGGTTATAAAAAACCTGTTACAGGTTCATACCCAAGACCTTCAGGCCAGCAGGCAAGCATCCAGTCAATGCACTCCTGAGGCTCCTAATCGACAACATAGTATATTCCCATGTGGGTTCCAACTCCCAGTTTGGGGGCAAAAGAAAAGACCCGCTGCCCAGGAATAAGTGTCGTTAGAGACAACTAATTGTGGGTGTTTCTTTCCAAGTCAGAGGGCATCTGCCTTAGAAGTGAGCAGAAAAATCTGCATACAAATGAGGCACTTCTGTAAAACAGATGCGCATGCGAAGCTCAAGTCTGGAGCGAGGCCAAAGTCCAGAAAGGGATGAACAGCCATAAACTTGCCTGCCAGAGTTTACAGCCTGTGAACGCTAAAATGAAGATTTACTATTACATATTCTTCTTCTTCTTTGCGTTCACCAGCTGTACACTCTGGCGGAAAGTTCTGGTTGCTCGTCCACTACTGAATTGCAGTCCTGCTCCAGAACCTGAGTGTTGCGTGTGCATCAGTTTTACAGATCTCATTCTCTTGAATACAGACTGTTGGTTCCTTGCCTCTCTGGCAGATGCAATCCGACTTCAAAGGAAGCTCCCCAATAAGTCGACTCTTACGACATGCTTTTGGGGAGGCAGTGGGTCTATTCTTCTTTTCCCCACAATGGGGCCCCGGAACCCACACGGGGGTATTACATAGTAAGAGTTAATTTCCTCATTGCTATTAAAAACCTTAAATGTTGTGAGTAGTAATATAGGGTGTTTATGCGAAACACAACAAAATGTTCGGTAGAGGTTGTCTCATTATGAACACATGAACAAATATTGTCTGTCTGTCTGTACCGTGATATAAAGCTATTTAGTGTCTCATCCTTCTGCATCTTTTTGTGCCATGGTTCAAGGCTGTTAAAGAATTCTGTTCTTCTGCTGTTCTTTCCCCCCCCCCCCCCCCCCCTATAAATGTTTAGCAGTTGTTAAATGCTCATGGATGTGCATGTAAAACTCTTGTGTACATCAAAACTGTTCATTCGTCCCTCAGTGTATTTTGAGCGATTCTACTCTATCATTCCTTGTGTACATAAAACCTTTCATAAATGTTTATGTGAGAATTGTCAGATTCCTGTCTTAAATATACACTCACACACACACAGGAACACATGTTAGGCACTGATGTTGTTACTACAATTTTGTTATGACTACCTATTATTTTTAATCTCACCATCTGATCTTCACTGTTGTTGCTACATAATCACAGATTTGCACGCAAAACTAAGGTTCTGGAATAAGACCAGAATTTATAAATGCGGTTCAACTACAGGCAGCCAAAACCTTTCACCAGATTTTGGAGCTGGTGAATACTAACAGGAGACTACATGTTCTAGTTTGTTGTAGTTGTTAAACATCCCTGCTTGCTAGTACCTTGTCCTCATATGTTCCTCCTTATCCTATGCCCCTGTCCTTCCTTGCTAGTGTCTTATCATATGTGATTAAAGTTGATCACATGTGCAACTACCAATTTGTTTATGGTTCCTGCTTTAGTCGACAGTGAGCTGTGTTTCTAATGTCAGACTGTTTGTATTAGCACTTCTGATGGCTGTCTTATGTTTTCATTGTGTATGTAAGCTGGTGGACATACTGAGACTACAGTCTGTGTCAGTTTTTCTACAAGGGACGGTGATGGATATTCTGTGTGTTTTTCTTTGGCACAGGAGCGGAGCAACTATGGTGTTACCTGTTTGCTATGAAGTTGAATCTAAGATTAAAAGATCGTCTTAAATTTCCTTATGCTAGTATCATGTCTCATGCATCTCTCCCTGTGACTATCTTCTCTCATGTGTCCCTCTTTGCTAGAATCTTGTTCCTCATATCTCCTTCCTTGCATCAATCTTATTAACTTATGTATCTCATGTATAGTGTATTTTATATGCAAATTAAATTTGTCATATAAATTTAATATGTACGCGTTTTTTTTATACAGCAGGTGTTCCCAAATAGCCAAATTGCTCCAAGCATGATCTCTTCCATGACACAAATGCAGCATTCAGACTCTACCGTAGTCAGCTCAACAACAAACACAGAAGAAAGGACATACCCTAAACCAGTGTTTTCCTACAGCTGCCTCATCGCCTTAGCTTTGAAAAACAGCAAGGATGGTAACCTTCCCGTGAGTGAGATCTACAGTTTTATGTGGTGAGTTTATGGTTTGTCTACCTTAGGGCTGTTCAGTTCAGTTTACCCTCGTGTGGGTTCCTGGGGCCCCATTGTGGGGAAAACAAGAATAGACCCACTGCCTCCCCAAAAGCATGTCGTAAGAGTCGACTAATTGGGGAGCTTCCTTTGAAGTCGGAGTGCATCTGCCGGAGAGGCAAGGAACAACAGTCTGTATTCAAGAGAATGAGATCTGTAAAACTGATGCACACGCAACACTCAGGTTCTGGAGCAGGACTGCAGTTCAGTAGTGGACGAGCAACCAGAACTTTCCGCCAGAGTTTAAGCTGGTGAAGGCGAAGAAGAAGAAGAAGTTCAGTTTACTCTGGGGTTGAAAATTGGGAAAATCAAGGACCAGAGGCCTTGGCTGCAACATAGAAAGATCATTAATACAATACATCTGTTTATGATCCACGGGGTACTTGCTCAGCCTCTGGGTCGCCAGTTGAATATCTCTCCTCTATACCATGGTTGTAATACTGTTAGGATCTCTGTTAGTAAGGTCTACAACTTTATATGTGGTGAGTGTAATATTTCTCTACTCAGTGTTTATTATATTGTTGGAATCTCTGTAAGTAAGGTCTAGTAGTGAGTATAAGGTTTCTCTACACAGTGTTGATTATATTGATGGAATCTCTGTTAGTAAGGTCTTCAACTTTATATGTGGTGAGTGTAAAGTTTCTCTACTCAGTGTTTATTATATTTATGGAATCTCTGTTAGTAAGGTCTAGTAGTGAGTATAAGGTTTCTCTACTCAGTGTTTATTATATTGTTAGAATCTCTGTTAGTAAGGTCTACAACTGTGTGTGGTGAGTGTAAGGTTTCTCTACAGTGCTTATTATATTGATGGCATTTTTATTAGTAATGTCTAGTAGTGAGTGTAAGGTTTCTCTACACAGTGTTTATTATATTGTTGGAATCTCTGTTAGTAAGGTCTGGTGGTGAGTATAAGGTGTTTATTATATTTTTGAAATCTCTGTTAGTAAGGTCTACAACTGTATGTGGTGAGTGTAAGGTTTCTCTACACAGTGTTTACTTTATTGTTGGAATGTGTGTTAGGAATGTCTACAACTGTAAATGATGAGTTTAAGTTTTCTCTACACTATATTTTAACATATTATTGGAATCTGTGTTCTGTTGTTCTGCCCTTTACAACCCAGTGGAGCATAGGCCCTCAACCAACTCACCTCAAGTCATCCTGTTGGTTGCTATTGCATGCAGCTCACCCTACCTTTATCATTCTTGACCCGATTCACTGGAATTGTCCATGGTTGGTTGGTTTATGTGGATATTGTTTTTCACAGAATAGGATGGCCATGCTCAATCCAACCTTTAGTCTGACAACACACTGGTAGGCTGCAGTGTTACTGTTCTTTGCTTCTAATGATGGCCCTGGTAACACACAAGAGATAAAACAATATAATAAAACATGGTTTCAGAGAAACCATAAAAAACACACCAGATAAAGCTGGAGACCTTTTTAACAGAGATTCCAACAATATATTAAACTCTGCGTAGAGAAATCTTACATTTACCACAAAGTTGTAGACCTTACTATCACTTTGTTAGCAAGATCTACAGTTTTATTTGGTGATAGTAGCTTCTATTCAGTATGTTTATTATATTTGTGTGCTTAGATACTGTGATATAAACTTGAAATTGTGAGTTTACAGTTTCTCATCATATTCATTATTTTATGGGCTTCTAGTGGTGATATCTACAATTTTACTTGGTGAGTTTAGTTTCTCATCATGTTTATTATTCTGTGGGCTTCTGTCATTGACATCTAAAACTTTATGAGATGCATGTTTAATCCAAAATATAATGAATTTGCCCCTAATGTGATGTCTGGAACTGCTTCTCATGCTGAGCTGAGGTGTGTGTTGATTATGTTAATATAGTGAAGTCCGGCAGTATGTTTTCAAGCCTCGGAGAATGTATTCCATTTAATGGGTTACCCTATACATGTTTACTGATGTTTGATTCGCTTAATATATTTGGAAAACAAATGTTTTTAACATAGACACACACGTTTCGATGAAAAGAGGCTCCTGTGTTTGTTTAACTTTGAGTCCTGCCAGCAGGTGCCTTGGAAAATAATTGTGCCGGCCGGACATTCCCAATTTCCACGTAAAATAATATGCTTTCTGATATTGTGGCTTCTAACTCTCGTAAAGCTTATGACCAGAAAACATGATGCTAAATGAGGGTGGCAAAAGTATTGGGTGGCTGCACTTATGATACTAAACTTACCATTGAAAAAAAATACTAGCAGACACTTGTGCGTATGTTCTTTTTTACTAATAGGTGGTCCAGTTGCTTCCTGTCTTGAGCCCACAGAAATTCATGAAGAAATTCGCAAAATAACCCATTATACAAAAATTTAAACATGTGTCTTGTGTCTGTTTAAAAACATTTGTTTCCCAAATATGTTAAGTGAATCAATCATCAGTATACATGTATAGGGTAAAGCATTAAATGGAATACATTCTCCGAGGCTTGAAAACATACTGCCGGACTCATAATGGTGTCCTCGTGAACATTCTAACACTGAGGCTACAGTGGTGTCAAAATGGCGTTATAAAAACATTTTGTTCACAAGAGAACTTTCCAAATGCTATTTTTAGTCAATATATTCATTTATGGACATCCTAAACACTGCACAAGCACAATCAGAACTTGATTATCAATTTTTTCGAGACCGGTCATAGCAGAAATGCCAGGTAAGTTGTATTTACAGGATTTAATCACAGTTAGCAATGTCAGGTGGGGGCTATATGTTTATGGTTATGATCATTTGTTGTATAACTTCTTGGTATGCATATGGATTTGATCTGTCACTATCCCTAAACCTTCGCTCAGCGCTAAGTTTTCAACTGTCAGCTATTTTTTTTTATTTGTAACATTTTTTCTTTGATTGATAAAATAACTTATTCTCACTTCTTTATGTTAAATTGAAGAAAAGCATTTTTGTCTTTGTCAGATGATAATTTGTGTGTGTTCTTTTTTAATTTGTAGTGAAAACTTCCCATACTTCAAGACAGCTCCTGATGGTTGGAAGGTGAGTGTCAGCAGTTTTGTATGGAGATGAAACTTTTGAGGTTTTCATATTTTTTGTTAACACAGAATTTATTGCATGACTCACTGTGATTACTCTTAGAAAATGGAACAGTTTTATAATTATAAAATGTTTTTTTTAGATGTGAATCTGTAAATGTTTGTAGCAGCTGTTACTTTCTGTTTGTCTCTGCGTCTCTTTCTCTCTCCCCCCCCCCCTCTCTCTCTCTCTCTCTCTCTGTAAATCTCTTTCTCCCCTCTCTCTCACTCACTCTCTATCTCTCTCTCTCTCTCTCTCTCTCTCTCTCTCTCTCTCTCTCTCTCTCTCTCTCTCTCTCTCTCTCTCTCTCTCTCCCTTTAAATATATATGTCTCTCTTCTCCTTCCCTCTATGATTGACAGTCTATTTCATTTAGAAAGGCTAGCTATCCCAGTACTCAGTTTGCTTAACTACATTGGAGACTTTGTTGATAATTGTTTCATTCATTCATTCATTGGCTCCTGTTGTGCCATTATGTCACATAGGGCTCATATTCTATTCCTTTCTTTTCAATTCAATGTTATGGATGGAATCCAGTCAAGCACCTTTGACCTGTATCATGTGTTTCTTTTGGGCCTCCTTGTCTCCTTAATCTCTTCATCTCACATTTGTATGCCTGTTTAGTGAATTTCTGTTCGTCTTCTCAGGGTGTGTCCAGTCTTTACTGTCTTATACCAGCCTGCTTAGTGGATCCTCTTCTACCTTAGGATGTAGTTGTTTGCTGTAGAGATGACCAGACTTCTTTATTAGCAGATTTCTATTGCGCTAAGGGCGTTATGTGTTCCTTGTATTGACCGTTTCAGGCAGATCCAGCAGCGATGATGGCCACCGCCAATGAGCATACTAATATAAAATACTCACGAATCGTAGCGCCTTCAGTGCTTCCCCCTGCAGTACTTCTTCCTCATATGCAGTCGCCTCAGAGCTACCGCTCACATAAAACAGTTGTGAAAACAAACCTGCGGCAGCTGCTTTTGACACAGTGTGTACACACGGCCAAGCAAGCCACGTCGTAGCGCCTCCACAACATAGGACAGTTAGGGAACTGGCGCGTAAACAAGATGGGGTGACTTTCATGATTATTACCTGTGTTTCTTCTCCTCTCTTGAGCTCACCATGTTTGTAGATTTTGAGATACTTATGATTTTTCTTTCTTATAACTGCTAGATACTAGTGGTTCCCCAGACATTTTCTTCTGTTTCTTCACTCTGTTTTGGATTCTTGCCATTTTACATTCACCATTTTCTTTGGCATTTAACTTTCGTTCCATATCTCAAGTGGTTCTGGAACTTTTACTGGCAGGTGTTACAACTGAAAGAACATTAAGAGTGACAATACATGACTTAGTTTTAAAACTACACAGTTTAGAATGTCATATTTTGTTCAGGCTGTTAAAAGCTGCTGAAGCCTTGCCAATGCATGTCATAATTTCTTTTTGTAAATCTTTCACTGTCTAAACAGCGGCGTCTGGCTAAGGCGTTGCGAGTCTGACTTGTAATCCAACGTACCGCGATTGAAACCCACTGCGGGCTGCATGGTATGGGACGTCGCAGGTCGACCCAGCCTCAAATGGGTACCAGGATAGCTGTCCTGGGAAAGTAAAGACGGCCGGCGTAATGCTGACCACATTACCCACCGAGTGCAGATTAATCTCTAAAAATATGGGTGCTCTTTCCATATGCCCAATGCGCCTAAGGGCGTGTAAAGGGATCTTTACTTTACTTTTTACTTTCACTGTCTAAATAAGTTGGTGTTAATTGTTTAATTTCAGTTTATCATCTAAACTGAAACCTTTTTGTCTCTGGTCACCAGAATTCAGTTCGTCACAATCTGTCTCTGAATAAATGCTTTGCCAAAGTTGACAACCCAAAGCTTAGTCAAGGAGCAAAGAAAGGATGCTTATGGGCCTTGAATCCTGCAAAAGTGACCAAAATGGAGGATGAGATTACTAAATGGGGGAAAAAGGATCCTGCAGGACTGTTGAGCAGCATGGCATATCCAGGTACATTTCTGGTTTTATACTAACACAAGTAAATCAGTTGTCATCTCCACGCTGAAGGTTGGGCTCAATACCTCTCTTCCCCTATGTGTATGTATTCTCTCAGTCCATTGTTTGTCATGTCTTGGCCATTCTTCCACTAGTATCCCTGTCTGTCTATTGCTTGTCTGCATGGTTTGCTGCACTATGATTTTTATAAGAGTATTATCTTCTAATGTTGCAGAAATATTTCTCTTTTTTAAATTTCATTTCTGTCAGCAGCCATCTTGACATTTCCAGTTTATACAATTATATATATGTATGTTGTTGTTGTTGTTATCGATCCAGCCGCGCATGAGCTTTCACCCTTTGGCCCAATGCCATGTAGTGGAATTTGCATGTTTTCACAAGCTGTTCTTTTCCTCCGTACAAGGTGTTCCACTTGTCTGGTCTCGGAGGGAGTAGCGTTCTTCTTGTCTCACTGAGTTCTGGGCACTCAAAGAGATGGTGTTCAACAGTTTCGTAGGGGTAGTTACATAGCTGGCACTCTGGGGAGTGTTGTGGCTGTATTCTGTTTAGGTGTCCATTGAGTGGAGTATGTTGCGTTCTAAGTCTGAAGATGGTGGCCTGGTCCCTTCTTGTTAGATGGTTAATGCTGTCATTAGGATCAGGGCCAGACATATGTCTATAAACCTCTCTTCCAGTGTCTCCCATGGCCCATCTGTTCAACCAAGTCTCTTTGTTTATAGCTCTTATCAGTGTTTTTGCTGTCTGGAGGGTTGTCGCTGTAGGTGGTTGTTCTTGTGTTGCTCCTTTCTTTGCCAATCTGTCAGCTCTGTCATTACCTGGTGTGCCGGAGTGACCTGGAATCCACTGCATCACTATTCTGATGTTGTATGAGGTAATAAGCTGATCAGCATCCAGGATTATCTTGGCTTTATCAGTTCTGCAGCGTTCACTGCCCTCCAGAGCTTGAAGGGCAGACATTGAATCTGTGAAGATGACAATATTTTGGACCTTTGAAGGGTAAACATCCATTACAGTCTTTAGGTGGTATACTGCTGTTTCCAGTGCAATTATTTCAACTTCATAGTTTGAACAGAATTCCCCGCATGCATCAAAAATCTCTTCAACAGATCCATCAGGATAACCTATGTAGATTCCGTAACCTGCTTTAATGGTAGCTTTAAATGCTGATCCATCAGTATAGACATGTATCCATTCTTGGGGGTAAGAATCAACGGTCTTTAGTGATGAGTTCATAAGAGCGATTGGGTCGGACTGTTTGGTTTCCTCGCCTACCAATTTAGTTTGGACTTCTGGAGCTTTAAAGCGAGCATGTGGTAGTAGGTTTTTTGCAACATTCTGAATTCCTTGACGTCTTTCTGGGAGGTGGTATCTGTCCTGAATTTCATTAACACAGTGTAAAACCGATTTGTGCTTTATTCTTTGTTTGGATTCCCAGTTTTCTACAAGATGTCTATTAGGATGGTTACGATTTTTCCTAACGCATCTTTCATAAATTTCTAAAGTGGCTTTTTCTCGCCGCAACCCGAGGGGTTCCACATTTGTATGGATTTCACATGCAGCAGTTGGTGTAGACTGCATAGCTCCGCAGATTAATCGGAGGGCATTATTTTGTACTCTGTCAAGAGTCTCTAGGTTAGTTTTGGAGCAAGTTGTAAGCAGTGAGTTGTTGTACTCTATCACAGAGCAAACATATCCTAGATATAAGCCCCTCAGAGTTTCCTTGTCTGATCCCCATGATGTAACTGCAAGTCTCTTTAATAACTGTAACCGCCTCAATGCCTTATTCCTGATGTTTTCAATATGGTTCTTGAGGCTGAGCTGCCGGTCAAGTGTGACTCCAAGGTATGTGGGATGCTCTTCTTTCATCACTTGGTGTTTGTCTAACCTCAGGTTAATATTCTTCCTTGCTACTTGGTGGCTTTTGGTAAAGATTGTGTAGACCGTCTTTGCACAGTTAACCTTGAGTTTCCATCTTTGGCAGTACTCATGCAGTCTTCTAAGGTCTCCATTCAGTCTTTGGGCTCCACTTTCCACATTTTCATGACTCTGCCATATTGCTAGGTCATCAGCGTACAAGGCTTTTTCGGCTTTGATTTGTTCTGGCAGGTCATTGATAAAGATTAGGAATAGTGTACAACTCAATGATGAGCCTTGTGGCAAGCCCTCCTCCAAGACTTCTAGTCAGGGTAACCCCAACGTGGCGAGTGTCCGTTGAAGTCACCAACAAGAAGGGTTTTATGGTACTGTGTCTTGTATAGTTCTGGTATGTTGCATGTTGTCTGAGGTGGGCTGTACACGTTGTATATCGTATATTTGCTTCCATTGTGCCAGATTATTTTTTGCACATCTGTAGGGTGAGATGTCGACAGCATTGTTACATCTCCTTATATGTCATTTCTGATATAGGTCACTATGCCCCGGCAGTCATTGCACTTACAGGCATAACTAGTATATCCAGTGAGATGCAGATCAGAGTTTATGCAGGGTTTCTTGTAGGGCAGCCACGTGTACCCTGTGGTTGTTTAGCAGTTTGGCAAGTTCAAGTTTCTTATTTCTTATTCCACAGATGTTCAGCTGCAGAATATTGAGCATCTGTGTATTTTTTGCTGTGCTGTCTGAGTTCTCTTTGCTCTCCCTCCCACTCTTCCTCCTCCTGGGGCGTCTGATTTTCCTATTTATTTCAAATTTTCCAGTAGCCAATTTTTCGCACATGACAGCCTATTTTCACACTGTCTGGCGCGGGCCTTGATAGACGAGGCGACGACCGATCTCGTATGTATTCTTAAATTTTGACATATTCATGGCATTGTGGTGCTGGGGTGTCTGTGGATTACCTACCTCCCCGGGCAGCAGCTAGAAATGCCCTGTACCAGTTCTAAAGGAAATATAGGTTGTGTTTCTGCCTTCCCCTTTAACACGTAGCTAAGGTGGGGCTCACAGTGTGCTCATTCCCCGCCACCAAATTGCCTGCAGGTTTCGCTGAGCTCTTCATGGCTCTAAGCATGAGTAGTTGGGTCAACTGGATCGTCACGTCCTGAGTCCCTGTGCCTTCACGATAGTTTCCGGTATTCAGGGGGATTAGCATACTTGTTTCCATTCCTAAGACTGTTCAGCACACCTCTGGCTCCTTCCCTCCCACAGGGGGCAGTACGGTGTGGTGCACCGGGTTTATTATCGAGGTTTGCTCCTCTAGATCCATTGTGTTTTGCCTGGGGATTCGCACCCCCAGTTACCAAGACTACCTCGGGGAGGCTGTGACTCTTCGCCACGCACAATGGTCTTGAGGTAAGAGAGGTTTTGCTAGGTCAAGAGGCTGACACCACAATGGACGCTCCTTTCGTGAACAGATATTCACTAGACCTAGGGTGAAGTAAGGGGGGGGAACCCACTACCCACAACACCAACACTTCTTACCCCCTGCCTCTCGAGGCTCAGTCCCATATATATGTATATATAATTAGAAGTCAGAAAGTGTATAATGAAAGTTTGAATTACATGTTTTGGTTTCTAAAGAAAGTATGTGCGCGCACACTCTAACACAATATATAGATATATACACACACACAAGCACAGTTAAAATACTTTTTTTTTCTTTCATTTTTCAACAGAAAATCTTGAAGCTATTGAAAAAGGACAAGCAGGATTACACTACAGCAAACAGAAAGCCCAAGATTTTACGCCTTGCACGCCTAATAAAGCTGACGGCACCCCTATGAAAGTAGACTTGTCTCGCATACAACAAACTGCAGACTGTTCTCCTCAGATCAGAATTGAGAGGTATAATACACATTCACACATGGAGAGGTCCGACATGGGAACTCCCATGAAAGTTGAGTTTTCTCCAACGGTAGTCAGAGACATCTCACATGTGTTCAGACAAGATTACTCAACACCCAACTCCAAACACCAGATGTTTGCAAAAATTGATCACACCGATCTCAGTTTTCTAGAAGTGCCTGTTAGCCTGAACAACGACGCTCTGGCTGATATAGTTTTACAGGTAATGCACGGAATAGTTAAATCTTTCTTCTTCTGGTTGTAAACCTTGCCTGAAAGTACTGGTTTTTCCCCCAGACATGCCCCCAGATCTGGCTTATTTGTATGTAGACTGTTGGTTTTTTGCCTCTCAGGCAGATGCACTCCAGCAGTAAAGAAAATACCTATAATTAGTTGCCCTTTTGTGAAAGACTTGTTGGGGGTGGTTTTTTCTTTCTCTCTGTCCCCCAGAATGGGACCTGGAGAACTGGGCATGTGGTGCTAGGCCCATTGTTTTTATAGACCAGTTGGCTCTCGCCGGCTGATATGGTCCACATCACACATACTAACTTTACTTCCATGTATCCATTTTAGGATGGTTGACCCGAGATACAAACTGTTATAGAAATCTGTCTCTTGATCCAGTCTGTTATTGAAATCTATCTTCTGACATGAGAGCCAGTTTGTTATAGAAATGTATCTCTTGACCTGAGAGTCTGTTATTGAAATCTTGTCTATTGACCTGAGAGTCGATCTGTTATAGAAATGTAACTCTTGACCTGAGCGTCAGTTATAGAAATGTATTTCTTGACCCGAGAGTCTGCTATAGAAATGTATCTCTTGACCTGAGAGTCTGTTATAGAAATGTATCGATTGACCTGAGAGCCAGTCTGTTACAGAAATGTGACTCTTGACCTGAGCGTCAGTTATAGAAATGTATCTCTTGACCTGGGAGTCTGTTATAGAAATGAATCTCTTGACCTGAGAGTCAGTTATAGAAATGAATCTCTTGACCTGAGAGTCAGTTATAGAAATGTATCTCTTGAGACCTGAGAGTCAGTTATAGAAATGTATCTCTTGAGACCTGAGAGTCAAGTCTGTTATGTGGGCAGGTGACTAGCCAGTATGCCACTATGGGCCCTGGCTGTTGAAGGAAGGTCAATCAAGAACTCCACTTTTGTTTCTAGCTGCTGGACTCATCTTTTTTACTGACCGATCGGCTCTTGCTACATGATGTGGTCAGCATCATGCCGGCTGCCTTTATGACTGGAGACACTTCCATTTTAGGATGTTTTGACCAGGGAACCTAAATCATTATATAGAAAATATAAGCTGTAGTTGATTAATTACTTAATGTGGTAAATCATCTCATACATAACGCATGCTGTATTCGTTGAATGGTTACTGGTAAATCATCCATAAATCAAGGCTATTCAACTGGTAGCCCGCGAATCATTGCCAATTGTATTGATTCATGATCATTTCTGTGATGGGGCTAGGGCCTCTGGCTGTGACGTCTGCCATTTTTAAAATTGTTGGCCCCTGAGTTAACTTACTTGATGTAAATGATGCATGCACAAGGTGTTGCGTTGTTGCTGGTAAGCCATTTTGATTTTATTAGTCCATACTGTGTGGCATGGGTAGTGTTGTCTATGTAGAACCAGTTCTTTCTCAAGAACTGACCCCTTATAGCGTCACAGGACAGTCTTAATATTTTTTAGGGTTGTAAGACCGGGTTTCCCAACCCTGAAATGCCAGATTGCTACACTATTCGCTTCATCTACCACCCCCTGAAATATTAGACTTGTCCCGTGACCTGTTTGTGGTCGGCTGTTGGGGAAGTACCACAAAACCCTCTTTCTCACATATTTTCATCACTTCTGATACTGATGATCTTTGATGCCATGGTATGAAACTTCAGCATCTTTTCTCTCATCAGCTTCCCTGACTGATTTGTCTAGGAAGGAAAGGAAAGTAGACGTGCTACCTCATATTTGATGGGCTTGAATTTGTTTAGGCCGAACACATTATTCCCAACAGCTGTATCTATTGTGTCACCAACTTTACCGAATGTTTATGAGGCTGGGCAAAGAGTGTGCTAGTTTGAAATCAACTATCCTGGGTCTCCGTGGGGATTCAACCTTGCTTCGGTAGGCCAGTTTTCAGAGACAGCAGATGTTGATATATTGGGCACATTCTGGCTTGAAGATGTCAAAGGGCATTGGTAGTCACTGAAATAAGAAACAAGTGGATTGATGAAGTGGTGACTCGTGACAGAAACCCCAATGACGAACATTGAAAAGAAATGCCGGAAGTGGTTGATTAGATTCCAGAGGATTGAAAAGAAATAGAGGAGTCAACCGTGATGCCTATATGATGTATAATTTAACAAACAAAAAAACACCTCAGTACACAAACTGGTTAAAGTTCAATGTCAACAGTTGACACCCTCACATTATACTTGCAGTTAAATTATTTTGACCATTATTTGTATTGACGACAGCTCCGTTTTCTCTCTGCAGAGTTCCGTGTGGGACGACTTGGAAAACAATATAGACATTGATCTCATCTGTGATTTACCGTCTTCCCACTCTGCCCAGTCATCACATTCCCCACTGACGGCGCGGTCGTCACCGAATCCATCACAATATGCACAGAGTTCAGGTACCACGAAGCCCCCATAAGTTGCGCTAAGATAGGTGAATACCTGGTGATATTCATTCCCTCACACGGGCGCTAGGATAGGTGAATACCTGGTGATATTCATTCCCTGACACAGGCTCTAAGATAGGTGAATACCTGGTGATATTCATTCCCTGACACGGGCTCTAAGATAGGTGAATACCTGGTGATATTCATTCCCTGACACGGGCTCTAAGATAGTTGAATATCTGGTCATATTCATTCCCTGACACGGGCGCTAAGATAGGTGAATACCTGGTCATATTCATTCCCTGAATCCCATTCTCAGAAAACTATTCTGTGTTAAAAAACATTGTAAGGCATCCACAGAGGGCCAGTTGATCTATAAAGTTATGGGTAAAATAAAATTATGTAAAATTATAAAGGGGAGTAGGTAAATGACCCTGGTTCAGGCCTATTAGGCAAATAAGGCTCGACGTATTATATCCAGCAGCAATTTAAGTGACACAATATATATTTTATGGACCAGTCAACACCCGGCTCTCTAGCATAATTGGCTAAACCGGATTGCGCGTTGAGCGGGTGACGAACTCCTTGTGGTCCTGGTTCACTCCCGGGGGTAGGCAGAAAAGCCATATTTTCTCCCAGATTTACGGTATTTACAATGGAATCAAGGCCGAAAGGTTGCGATTTCCATAATACCGAGCCTAAGGGTTAACAACTCATGGCTTCTGGATACTTAAAAAAAAAATTGACCAGTCAACACTCACTGGATGTTGTGGTCAACACTCACTGGATGTTGTGGTCAACACTCACTGGATGTTGTGGTCAACATCCTGCAGGCTACTTTCACTTCCCATGACTTTACCTGATCCCATTTAAGGCTGGTTTAGCCTAGGAGGTCTATTCTGTTTTCTCCCAGAACCCACACAGGGACCCGCAGAGATAAAACAGCCAAGTGGGGTACAGTCTGGCGCAAAACAGTTTTGTCTTTAAAATTCTCTATAATGCCCTTTTCCACGCCTTTCAGGCGTATTTGGTATGTAGGGCTAGACCTATATTTTAAAGACAATGGCACAAGACAGGTGATGTGGTCAGCATCACGCCGACCACCTTTACTTCCCAGGACTGCTCCTGGGACACACTCAAGGCTGGGAGCCAAGGTCATTTTTGAAAAAAGACTAGCCTGGTTCCAGTTTTAGTATATGTACTGTTAAAATACTCTATACTGCAAATATTAGTTTGCTGTTTGCTTGGTCAAGGGACATAAACAAGTCTGGGGACAGTGAGTTACAGTTGCCTGGAAACTAGTTACGGTAGCAAGTAGTTAAAATAAAAAACAGTAGACAGAAGAGACAGAAGCAGCAGCTGAAGTAACAGAAGCAGCAGCTGCAGTAACAGAAGCAGCAGCTGCAGTGACGGAAGCAGTTCTTCATGTTCGTCGGCTATAAACTTTCATCTTGCTCCAGAGCTTGAGTTTTGTGTGCACACTGTTTTACAAATCTGGCTTATTTGTGTGCAGACTGTTGGTTATTCACCTCTCTGGCAGATGCACTCTGACTTCTAAGGAAACTTCATAATTAGTCAACTTTTACTTACGATATGCCTGCTAAGGGCGCAATGGATCTGTTCTTGCCCCCATAATTGGGTCCTGGAACTCACACGGGGGCACATAAGTAGTTGAGATGACAGAAGTAGTTGAGATAACAGAAGTAGTTGAGATGACAGAAGTAGTTGAGATGACAGAAGTAGTTGAGATGACAGAAGTAGTTTTGAGATGATAGAAGTAGTTGAGATGACAGAAGTAGTTTTGAGATGACAGAAGTAGTTGAGATGACAGAAGTAGTTTTGAGATGACAGAAGTAGTTTTGAGATGACAGAAGTAGTTGAAGGAACTGTTAAATAGTTCAAGAAACCATCTAAGGGATATCATAGAGAAAGAAACTTCTTGTTTAGTACAGGTCACACAACACAAAATGGATCACGTGTTTGGAGAAGAAGAAATTACAATTAACTAAGGATGTTTATACACTGCTATCAGCAAATGGGAAAAAACACAAGCGAAGTAAAAAAAAAATTATACTGAAGTAACAATTTAAGCATTATAGCATGTAATGTATTAACTGTGTTGCTGTGACATAATTTTCTTCTTTTGTTTTGTGTTTCTTACTATTTGCTGCAAAAAATTTTCTTTTTCCTTAGAATTGTAATTTTAAAAAGCAGACCAATACTTAGTGTTTTCTAGTTTTTTATATGTTTACGCCGGCATCTGGGGATTAGAGGTTTGCAAATTCAATTTGTAATGTGGGGTGCCGGGTTCGATTCAACCTGCAGGCGAATTGGCAGCAGACCGTCATGCGTTGGTTTTGATAATATTACCAGGAGTGAACTGTACAGAAAGCAATGGCAGACTCTGAACATTAATTTGCCTAGAAAAACCACATTGCGGGAAAAATGCTAGGGTTGGTTCTGCAACTTTTTGTAAAGAAAACAAAACTTTAAAATAAAAAATGTTACAGCTTTCCCGCAGTTAGACTATTTAATTTAAAATTGATCAGGAGACCATTCTGATGAATAACTGTTATTGTCTGTTTGTTTCTCAGGCAACTACAGCCCATCCGTCCATCCATTTTACAGAAATGTACTAAACAATAGTCCAGTCCAGCATGTCAGTCCATCCGCTGCAGCCGTGAGGACCAGCTTATTTGGCACATCAACTCCTACTCGAAGAACTCTGTATGCATAATGATGATGTCTCTATTGCCCAATGTGTGTCATAACGTCAACATATCAGCCAGTTGTTGTCTACAGTTTACTTGTAAATGTTGACAAGTATGTTTTATGTTCTGCCTTTCTCCTAGTAGTAGTTTTTAACTTACTAATCCTTGATGGTTGCGTGAAGCAATTTGTCAAACACTGCATCCTAGAAGTTATTAAGTTTAAATTACTGCATTCTAGAAGCAATTTTGACCATTCAAATTACATTTTAGAAGCACTTTTTAAATTACTGTATCCTATTAGCAGTCTTTAGATTGTGGCCTTGTCATCGCTAAGAGGAGTAACTGATTACTGATCACAGTATCTGTCAAAGGTCACAGGATTTATTGCTGTTGTGTTTTTCTTTAACTCGTTTTTTTTTTTTTTAAATTCGCTCCAAAATATTAATTATTTTTTTTATTAAATGCAGTTGCTACTGTATAGCTGCCTTTTGTTTTACATTTCAGTCTATTAGCTCTCACGATGCCAGTGATCAATGGTGATTTAAACATTTTATGAATTTTTGTTGTTGCTTCCCACTCTCCATTCCCCGCTGTTTGCATTTTTGATGGGCCCAGAGATTCGTTGTTTTTGAAAACCTGTAATAAGGCTTGATCTCTTTTGGTTGTGCTCCAAGTTTAAAAAAAAAAAAATGCCAAAATTTAGCTATAGACATTAAACATAAAACTTGTGTAAAATAAAAGAAGGAAAGTATAAGTAATTTATAAAAAAAAAAGTACAAAGTATACAGTTAAACCAGCACAATGTCTTGGGGGATTCGGGGGAAAAACAATGAGTCATACTCTGACTAAATAGGAATTATGAGGTCATAGTAACTTTAACACCCCCCCCCCATTTCATTCTCAAACTGAATGTGACCTTATTTGAGTGTCAGATAGTTAATGGGTATCTCCAGGTGTAAAGTACAATTGTTACGTCATACACATGCTCAAGTAGTATTTAGGCAAGACATACTTAATGTGGCTAAGATTCCATTTGATCATAATTGCAAGAATCACTTGATACTTGTAGAATCTTTGCAAGAATCACTTGATGCTTGTAGAATCTTTGCAAGAATCGCTTGATACTTGTAGAATCTTTGCAAGAATCACTTGATACTTGTAGAATCTTTGCAAGAATCACTTGATACTTGTAGAATCTTTGCAAGAATCACTTGATACTTGTAGAATCTTTGCAAGAATCACTTGATACTTGTAGAATCTTTGCAAGAATCACTTGATACTTGTAGAATCTTTGCAAGAATCGCTTGATACTTGTAGAATCTTTGCAAGAATCACTTGATACTTGTAGAATCTTTGCAAGAATCACTTGATACTTGTAGAATCTTTGCAAGAATCACTTGATACTTGTAGAATCTTTGCAAGAATCACTTGATACTTGTAGAATCTTTGCAAGAATCACTTGATACTTGTAGAATCTTTGCAAGAATCACTTGATACTTGTAGAATCTTTGCAAGAATCACTTGATACTTGTAGAATCTTTGCAAGAATCACTTGATACTTGTAGAATCTTTGCAAGAATCACTTGATACTTGTAGAATCTTTGCAAGAATCGCTTGATACTTGTAGAATCTTTGCAAGAATCACTTGATACTTGTAGAATCTTTGCAAGAATCACTTGATACTTGTAGAATCTTTGCAAGAATCGCTTGATACTTGTAGAATCTTTGCAAGAATCACTTGATACTTGTAGAATCTTTGCAAGAATCGCTTGATACTTGTAGAATCTTTGCAAGAATCACTTGATACTTGTAGAATCTTTGCAAGAATCGCTTGATACTTGTAGAATCTTTGCAAGAATCACTTGATACTTGTAGAATCTTTGCAAGAATCACTTGATACTTGTAGAATCTTTGCAAGAATCACTTGATATGATAGTATCAATCAGCATACTACACACAATGGTTCTAAAGCTGAGACTTTTGAATATCACAAGGAACACATTATTATTTAGATATTACTGACAGGAAATAAATTTATGACTGCTGTTTACATTAAATTGTAAGGCCTAAACTGCTGATTATTACAAGAAATGCTTCTATGAATGAGATGACTGCTGTTTTAACAATACTACAAGACCATACCTACAGAAATTATGTTAATTTTAAGAAACACTTTGTATGACTAGATAAATGCTGTTTAGTGATATTACAAAACCTTATCAGTTGAAGACTGCTGTTTAATCATACCACAAGACCACGGCTAGGCTAAAATTGCTGCTAATTTCAAGAAACACTTTTTATGACAATTAACCACACAAAATCAGTCGGAGTTAGAAATGGTGCAAAAGTTGATATAGTGACAAATAAAAAATACACTTTTTTTTGTGTGGTTTCATTCATTGTGTTTATTGTACATATTTATTCACTTGAGGATTAATGATTATTCATCCTGTGTCAACGTTATCATGTTTTATGGCATAATAAGCTCGGATGTTCATTTCTCTTGCTCACTGTTAACTCTTGCAGGATAATAAATGATCTCAGTTTTGTTTCATATTGCATCCAAGTCAGATTTCTTAATATCTTCCTTTTTTATGTAACTAATATTTTATGTGGAAATAAACCTGCACAGAAAACTAGTCTGTCGTAAATATGAATGCAGAATCGTTATATACGTCCGTTTGTTAATGCATAGTATTACAAATTGGAAACAATTTACTACTTTTTCCTGTTTAAAAAAAGTAACGTTACCAATGACCTTGCATATGTCTTCTTTCTTTTCTGTGTTTGCACTTAAGAGAGCAGTCAGTACATTGTTTTGTGATTCACAGCTAGGCTGTGTGATCTGAACCTGTTGCCAAACACATTCCAGCAAAACCTTCAGTAAATGCCTGTTACAGCATGCTAGTTAAGGTGTGATGGGTCTCAGAACCCACTCTGGGATCTTATCTTGTAAATGAGTTAAACTGTAAATAAAACCCTGTAGCAGATAGTGCCATTATGATGTGAAGTGTCAGACCTTCACATGCTCTCGACAACAATGTATAAGCCGATTTGTCCAGCTACATTACTTTTCGTCTGTTCCCAGTTTATCAAAATTGACTGATACAAATTGTGTGCGATGTGAAAGTCATGATGTGGGGGCATTGGTAGCCATGTCCACAATCTTCTGTGGACCCTTTAGTACAGTTCCTTGTTTTGTCGCGACCCCCCAATCATACAATTATTGTCTTTCTTCTTTTTCTCTTCCACATTGTACCTCAATGAAGTGTCTGGGGGAGATGTAACATTCATTGATGAGCTCTCTCAAATGCGCTATTAAAGTTTATATTCCTTTCTGTAAGGCTTTTTTTAATGCCATCTTTCCATATTTTCGAAGTCTTCCTCTCGACCCGTTGTAACCTTTCAGTGTGGCTTGCTGGGGTAGACAGTACCAGTGCATTTTTGTTAGATGCCCAAGCTACTCATGTGTTATTCTTTGTACGCAGCTCTTCTAAGACATTTCATCTCTGTTGTCACAATATTTACGTTCATTAGAGGATGTAAGTGTCCATGTCTGGCACTGATAGCATAGTGTTGGCCAAAAAATAGTCCTGATAAAGTTCACTTTAATACTCCGGGGTATCTGCTTGTGTGTCAACAGGGAAGATAGTTACCCTAGTACTTGATAAGTGTTGGCATCCAGTACTTGATTAGTGTTGGCACATCTCAAGCTAACATCTCTGTCCAGTTTTCCATCAGATGTGAATATTGCTCCCAGGTACTTGATTTCCTTTGTTTGTCTTAAGGCATTGTTTTTTTTTAAATTTCTAAATTGTCTTTCAGTCTTGCTAACATTGCTGCTTCTTAACTTCAGTGAATATGTGTTTTTTGATGGTCATAGGTGACCCCTGTGAAAGAGTTGTTTGACCCTTATGTTGAGGCAATCAGTTCATGAGTTTCTTTCAAGAGATGAGATCTTCATTACTATTTGTATCCGTCCAGTGTATTCTCATCATTCAATTTTAAAACCACATCTCTGCAGCTTCTAAAATAATTTTTTCACTAATCTGCCAACTGTACAACTTCTGTATATCAGGATAGAGTTTATATAAATCTTAAGAATTCTCTTTCTCATCTCATTTGACAGAGGAAGTTTGTATAGAATATTCTTCATTTTGTAAAATGCTGCTTTTGATTGAGCTATTCTATATTAAACTTCTCTAACACATCTTCGATCAGGGTGCCCAAGTATTTAACTCTTTGAGTCCTAAGGAACGCATCACACGTTCATAGGTTCCCGCCTAGAGGCCCAATGAACGCAAGATGCGCCGATTTTACATCTCTTTTGACTAGCCCATGGGCCTCTGATGCTAAACCCTCGAAAGAGCTAAACATATAAGCTTGCAATAGATTGTCCCATTGGCTTTGATGTTGCATTTCAGATGGTGCATTTTCTTTCTAATTACCATAATTTCAGTTTTGCTGCTGTTAAAACTAAGACCCTGGTTTTGACTTTTTGTTACATTTATGTCTATCATTTTATAGCAGATTGATTTCAGTTTCAGCGATCAAAAACTATTGTCTTCATATCGCAGGTTAACAATATGCCCATCAACCGATATTTCTGGTATACCATGTATGGATCTAATTATTATTTCACTGTACGAATTAAATAAATCAGTTGTAATGCACATCCCCGTCTTAACGCCTTGTTTCATGCTATGACAAGTACCAACTTGGTTGTCAGTTAATTTGGGCTGCTTGTTGCCAGTATATGTAGAACTAGACTTTACATATTCCCAGCTACCTGGAATTTTTTCACCTGGATTTCAAGTTATTTTCCCTGGTCTCTTCCCCTGGTAAGATTGGACGCCCGTGTGTATTGTTACGCATGTTAAAAAAATTCCTTAATGGGAAAAAGTAGTCTTAACGGGGCTGCCCGGACACAATTTTGAGTTAAAAATCTACCAAAAATATTTCAGTATCCTAGCTGTTGCTACGGAGTTCATGCACTGTGCTGAGATTCTTCGGACTCAGGCTTGAG